AACACACGATGCAAAACCTCTGCATTAATAACATGGTGTTGCCACCACCACCACTTATGCAGCTACCTAAATAAACGAACTTCTCGACTACTTCTATCTGCTCACCATCTAGGGTGAGTACAGGATTAGAATCCTGCTTGTCTTGTAGAAGTACTTTGCACTTCGAAGGTGCAAAGCACATACCGTACCTACGGACACTGATTGCCAACTGATTAAGTGCGGATTGGATGGCTTAGGCATTATCGCATAGTAAGACAATATCGTCCGCATACTCAAGGTCGAGAAGTCTTTTTCCAGGCAACAGATCCACACCACCATTACTTACATTCATCAGAGCTGTTTCCAGAACGTCATCGATGGCAAAGTTGAAGAGGAATGGTGAGATTGGGCAACCCTGCCTAACCCTACTGCTCGAATGGAACAATGGACAGAGGTGGTTGTATGCCCTCACTCTGCCTGAGGTGTTTTTATATAGGGCTTTTAGGATGTTAATAAACTTCTCAGGCACACCCTTCTTTAATAGACAATCCCAGAGAACAGTCTTATCCAACGAATCGAAGGCAGCCCTGATGTCAAGAAACACTACGATTGTTGGCTTGTGATAAGTATGACGGTGTTCTAACATTTGGTGGAGGGTGAAAATATAACCAATACATTCTCGACCAGAATGAAACCCAGCCTGCTCCTCGCGACTCAATCTTTCTCGGGTTTTGAACAATCTACGAAGTATGACGGAAGCCAATTGTTTGGACGCAATCGGAAGTAGACTTATCCCTCGATAGTTGCTACAGGAACGACATGAACCCTTTTTAAAGATAGGGACAACTATCGACTCATTCCATGACGTTGGTACACACTCTAGCTCCCAGACCTTTGCAAACAACACAGTCAGTTCCTTAGTCAGAATGTTACCACCATCTTTAAATAGAGCCGGAGATAAGTCATCTGTGCCCGGTGATTTGTAGCGCTTCAAGAGTTGGAGTTCCTTGCGGACTTTCGCCTCATTTGGTGGATCAGTCATCACCGGCCATGAAGGGCATGACAGTCTGACCGATGTTGCCGGAGCAGCAGGCCAGTTGAACTGCCCTTCGAAGAATTCTGCCCATCGTTCAAGACGTCGATGGATGTTAGTGGCTGGCGCCCCATCATTCCCACAGGTTGTTTCGCTCACACCAGACTTCTTGCTGTCAATGGCTCGGATGAGTTGGAAGAGCTTCCGGTAGTTACCAGATACAGCTGCTGCTTCCAGCTCATTAGCACGCTCCGACCACCAGGCTTCTCGTTCCTTACTCAAGCTTTGCACGATTTCATTACGTAACAGCCTTCGTTTGTGGTCAAACTCACGGTCACCCAGAGTAGACCGACGGGCTTCGATGAGTTGTAAGGAGACAGAAGAAGCACGGTACTTATAAGCGGGACGTTTTGCGAATCCGTAAGCGGCCTTATACGACATTTTCATGGCGTCATGAAGTTGCAACCAACGCTCATCTATAGTTTTTGGTGGGATGGTAGCTAGCCTAGAAGCTAGCTCGGTTCGATACTTACTTGCAACAGAAGTTGCAAACAGCTTGCTAACATCAATCCTTTGGTGGCGGTCACTTCGTTGTCCACTGAAAAGTAAGGTAAGATTGGCGCAGACCAGGGCATGATCAGAGTCCAGATAGGTACTCCAACAGGAGCGGCAGTCTTGTACACAACCGCGCCAGCGGTAGCTCGTGGCGATGTGATCAATCTGAGTCCAGGCTTGAGATACAGAGGGAGGACGCCAGGTGGCACATCGGCGATGACTGTGCCGGAAGTTAGTGCTATCCAAAAACAGATTGTGGTCTGTGCACATCCACAGTAGACGATTCCCGTTATCTGTCCTGCGGCCAACAAGTCCCCATAGGCCACCTAAACGATTCTCTTCTGTGCCTGGACGCCCGACCTGAGCATTCAAGTCTCCGGTTAGTACTACAATATCTGTCGAACGCATTTTCTGGAGAACAGATAACTGGTGGTAGAATTCATTCTTGATTGCATCCGGGCTGCAATCTGTCGGGGCATAGGCGGAGATGACGAAAAGACATCGTTTCTCACTCCGATTTCTTCTCACTTTGATGGAACCTTCTAATCTAACAGCACATAACCGACTGTTAATGTGGATCCAATCGATTAGTGCTGCCTCAGCTCTAGCACTTTGTGAAACACCAACGCCAGCAAGACCAGACGAAGATGCTACAGGGTCTCCGGATAAGCGCACGTAAAACAAGCTTTTTGAAGCGATAGATGGAGAGCGAATTTGTAGTACTTCGCCAGAGTCTTGAATACGGGTCTAGGATAGACAACAAACGTCGATATTAAGACTTTCCAAAGACATAGCCAACCCTATCTGTTTTCATATCTGCATTAGTGTATGAACGTTGAAGGCAGCCATTTTGAATGGTGCACGTAGTTTCAGAAAAACTGTTTCGGTACTCATATTCGGTGGTAGCATTCAATTTCCAACCAGCCAGTGACTCGAGATCGTTTAGATAGAGCCGAATTTCCACCATAGGCGAGCTGCTGTATAAGTCGAAAAATAAGGATAGACAAAATGGGAATAAAAGAGAGTGGATAAATGACGTAGTAAATAATAATAATAATAATAATAATAATAATAATAATAATAATAATAATAATAATAATAATAATGTGAATCGTTTGATTATTAATCGAAGCAAGAAAAGTATTTTCCATAATTATCGATAGTTCATCATAATTGTGTGTGGGCTGTGATACTGCCCGGGTGCCCAGACCGAAGCAGGTGGTTTTCTTATAGGGCCACACCCCAAGCCTTCGACCTAAAGGTCTAACACACAAGGCAGTGGAGCACCGTAGGGAGATGCAGTTCCATGGTAGCCGGTGACCAAAATTTGGTTTACACACATTTGTTCCCTCAGGATACTGGAGCCCATGTGCACCATCGGTTTGGGATCCGGTTAAAGCGCCGGATATTCGCTTTTCGTCCTCTCGATTTCGTAAACAACACCCCCACTACGAGAAGGCAGTGAGTAAGACTTCCCTGACAAAGGCTGTATGCGCGTGGCCGTGTGAGAGCATTTCGAGAGGGAGGAACGGTCCACCCCACTCTCGGCCATACCAGGGCATTTGGGCCCCTACTGAGATCACTGGATAATTGTAACGGTGTACAACTGACTGACGAGGAAATACCTAACGATAAATTACTGGATTTATACTAATGGCAAATCTTATAATGGGACGAAAAATCTTTTTAAGTCTATGATTTTAAATGGTGTAATAGTTAGTGCTAATTTGTAATGAAAACTATCTTCAAAAATTATTTGTTGTTTAACACTATGTGATTGGGAATCATAACTAAATATACTTTGTATACTTATTCATTTTTCTCACTTTCATTATGAACTCCGTTCAGATTATGATGCTATAATCACTAAATAACTGTCTAACTAACTCTGAATACTAGTTCATGTATTTATTTCAAACTCCAAATTGGTTGCTGATATTTCTGTTACATCATCAAAATGATACAATCCATAATGTTAACTATATTACTTAAATATTTTACAAAACTTTTATTCTATACTTTCTTAAACTAAACATTTATATTTATCCAAAAGACAAAAGATTAGTTATTTATCAACTTTTTAAGTAAACAGATTTTTTACCGGTGATTCACAATTATAGCATTATATCTGAACTATTATTTAAGTATTTAAATACTGACATATCATGCTTACGCAAAATAACTTTAAAATATGAATATTTACATTGTTCTGAAGGTAAATCACATTTAACCACCCATTAACAAGATGGAATTGATAACTGTGTGGTTATTTATTTACCAATACAGATGAATTGTTTTTATTACATCTATTTTATAACAACTTGATCACTATTTTGACAATATATCCGTCATCGGTAAAAAAACCCCACTTAACTGGATGATTAATACATTTGCTTTAAATTTCAAGATTATCTTGTTTTCAGTTAACATAGTTTTTTTTACCAAAATTTTGTGATGATATAAAGTTACGTTAATTTTAACATTTTACAACAGTTAAGAAAGATTCATAAGTATAAATAAAAGTTTACACGATTTAAACAACTTGACTCGAAATATTATAATAATTAGTAGTATTTTTGGTCAAAATCAATTAATATTGGTGACTACACAATATTTATTACCTAAACCTATAAATAGAAACGTTTAATTGCTTACGGCACTGATCGTTAAGTTGGTGATCGGTTGTATACGAAGTCACTGACAAACTTTCAGCTACACTATTTGGGTTTTAGAGGTCTCAAGTCCCTAGGTTATGTGATTTAGTTGTCAAATTTTGATTGTATTTTTTGGACAGCATCATCAGACATGCCTTGACATATCCTCATTCTGAGCTGAAAATATTTTACATTATTATACTGGTGTGGGTTACATAAATTTATTGAGATCAGTGATTGTAGTACACGGCAATAAAAGAGAAATAGAAAACAGAAGTCAGTAGTTTTTTTATTAATTATTTTGGTTATTTTTAAGTTGTATTCATCGAAAAATGGTTTCATGTCAATCTTATGTAGTCCGAAATGTAAGTTTTTTACCACCTAGTAATTGTTATTACCTTTTGTTTTTTGAAAATAACAGTCTACTAACTAAAAACCATTGAAATTACTACATTCTCCACAAAACCCATCTGATAAAAACGTATCACTTAGTTCTCCGTTAAATGTATCTAGATGATGCACTTATTGTTCTTTATAAATTGTTGGACATTATAGTGTCATACTGCACATGAATTATGCATCTTAATCGTAAAAGTATTTATAATCTCCCCTCTCTCTTTCTGCTGCTCCGATTGGAGATATGTAAAAGGAAGATTGCCGTGATGTAATGAGCTTGTGAAAATATAAGGATCATAGTGATGTATCTATTCATTTCAAAAGTATCTATTGTCTGTATTACAGTGGTTAACTAAAACTATAAGCATTTATTTTCAATTTAGCCGAAGGAGTTTCGAACAATGTAAGTTTTCCAAGTAAACAAGACGCTCAAGAAATAATCAGAAAAGTAAAATATGCTTTTAATTTGAATGAACAAATTCAACCACATATTCCAGAAGAAATATCAAAGAAAATTTTCATTCGACTATTCAACACCGTTCAGTGGTTGGATAAAGTTTGTCGACATAATATTGTACCTGACTATGACCAACATATGGTGCGTGAGATTGTTGAACCTCTATTGGAAGAGGCTACGCTTGCAACGATTGCAAAAAGATTACAAAATAAAATCGAGTTTTGGAAAGGACTTGGTCCTGCTTGGAATACTCCACCGTAAGTTAAAATTTACTTAGTTAACTATTATTCTATGACATTTGGTATGCTAATAATTGGCTACACCCCATTCGAGTCTTCAATTTCCTGACTACATGTTTTGTTTTTTATTGTATCATGAAAGTTTCTTTGAAAGTATGTCAATATTTAAATAGATAACAGGTAATCTATAACTTCTGTTATGCCATAAACGATCTTTTTTATACTCGAAGACAGTTTTGGCAAGAATGGGAATCACCCGAAAATCAGTCGGCTTCTGGACTTTTTATCCTAGTTCCCGTTTTCTTACTACTGTTCCAGAAATACCTGGCAATTCTCTCGCCTCGTAGCAAGGATAACACCTCCAGATTACTAAGTTTGAATCTAACCGGCCACATTTTTTGCTTTGGTCGACTTTTGAAGGGTGTTGATTAATTAACTGACTTAAGAATACTACTTTCCAAGTTATTAACAGTAAGCAGCCAATGTTGTTTAAAGTCGGTCAGTTTTTTGACGAAACATAGGTGATCAACATTAGTCGGAATGTAAACATGGAAAGTCGAAAAATGTTCCACACTTGTGTTCTTATTCAGTATTTCGTTTTCAATATTTATTAGTATTAATTTCTTGTTCTGAGTCTATCTGAAATTTTCTAAATACTGAAAGATAATCCATGTTTGTCTTCTAACCAATGCCAAAATGATTTCTTTACCGTATATAAGATATATATGTGTATATCACAAAAAGTTTGAATAGGATTCAAACTAACAATCTAAACGCCTTTCATGATATTATCCTAACATGCAAAAATGTCCTAACGAGTAATTGATTTTCACGATTAGAACGTGACATTATTATACTTTACGTAACATCCTGCTATCGGTATAACTTGTAAATTGTTTTACCATCTTACAATCGATTGTCATTTTTGAGTTATATGTAACAATCATCTCAATGTAAAGATTATAAACGCTAACTTTTGATCATACTATCAATAACGCTTTAACAAAAAGTCCTTGGAACATTTTATATAAACTACAAATGCTTTTATTTGATTACTTATTTCATTCTGAAACCGGTTTTATCGGTTAAGTATTATTGATTTGTTTATATTTGATAATGTAGCCCGCATGATTTTCAGTTAACAAAACGAAACCTTGACAGAAAATGTAGTCACATTGTGCTTTCTTAATATAAGTTCATAATTTTTACGACATATAATAATGTATGTATACAAATACTGGTGTCTTTTTCATGAAATTTACCAAGTAAAGTAACATAAAATGGTTAATTATTATACATATGACATTGACTGGTTAAGAACACTTTATTTAGGTAGACATTTTAAGAAAACAATATAGATTTTTCGAGTGTGCTACTCTCTCTAGGAGTTTAAATAAACTTATGTTCTGGAACGTTCGAAGATGCTTTATTGTTAAAGACTGTTTAGCATATTCAAAATGTGTAAACATTTATTTAATAAGAAAAAGAGAATGCAGCGAAGAAATTTTTCTTTTCGATGAAATCATTTACTTAAGCTGTACACTCGTATATATAGTTATATAGAAAATATATTTCTATAGGAGGATAGAAAAGATTGCATCATAAATTTATTAAGCCTTTCCTCTGAAGATCCCATTCGGATGTACAAAGCATTTTTAGCTCAAGTGCAAACATCATATGGATATTTCACATATTTGAAGTATTTTTAGTAAGTTAATTTTAAAAGTTCTTAAGGAGTACAGATTTAACAAAATACTGGAAGTTTCTCTTTTTGTACCAATTTTATCTAACTGACCAGGTATTTCACAAAACTAATTACATGACAATCATTTTAATTAACTGCGACAAGGGATTTAACTCATGGTCTTCCCTGAACGATGTTAGAAGCACACTGTCTAGGATAATAATTATACATATGAACGTAGCGATGAACATTATTGTTGAGTACAGAACAACAGTATATTAGAAAGTGTAGTTCAGGCTAAGTTAGCTACTAAATATCATCGATTAGTCTTTTAAGCACTGGTTACCCGGAGACAGTTGATTCTAATCCTTTTCCGGTTCAGAATTTTCCATAACCTCACTCGTCACTGTCATTGTTTGCAAGACGCATCTTCTCAAGCAAGAATATCATAGACAGTTCAATTGCAGATATCCTTTATACAGGCTACAAAGAGTTGAGGACATAAAATACTACATTATACTACTAATACTATTACCTTGTGCTTCGTATTACCAAGCTTGTGAGTGGATGACCATTTGGTAAAGGAGTTCATTTTAACTATTTAGTTATGGTAAGTAAGGAAGGAGTCCAACCATGGAATCAAGAGACCTATGACTTCATATGGTTTGAGTTTATCTATAAGAAGCTTATGGTTAGCCAAGTCAAATAGCTTAGGTATGTTAGAATACGTTCATAGAACTAATTTGCGCAAAACTACGTTGAGCAAAGAGTGTTAAATAAGCCTAGTTAACAAATCATGCAAGATCTAGCTCTTAGGAATTTGTTTTACAAACATTTAATAAGTTTTTCGACAGGTAAATTTTCTAATGTTTTGCCACTTACTTTTAAAATGATCTTAGGGATAATTAATGTGATAATATTGGGTCTATAATTATGCTTGTTCATCTTATTTCGGTAATCCAATTTAAAATTTCATATGGAATTTTCCAACGCCAAGGATAAACGTCTGTTTTCAGAGAAAGCGTAAACAGTTTAGATAGTAGTAATTGGATAACAAGTCCTCCTTATTTGAAGTAAAAGGATGGACTCTCGTCTACTCCGTTACTTCTTGAAGCGTTAACTAAATTTATGGTCTAGTGATTTAGGAATAATTAAAAGAACGGACTTTATTTAGTTGTTCGTTAAATGTAGTACCTCCAACCTACTGTGATCTACCAAACATATCCCTTAAAAGGTTAGTGATGGTTTCAAAGTTCTCTACAGCTTTTAATCTATATCCTTCCTTTGTTCGGTTACAAATGATAGTTATATTTTTGACTGTAGAAATAACGTAACTGACCTGCAAGGGTTTTAATTTGTTACTACATTTAACTGATACGAATAGAACATATCAGTTGTTTCTATACTGGAAATTCTTCATATTTATTCAGGTGTGACTATACAATCTATGTTTTTATTTATCAACACATTAGTGTGCACTCTCAGCTAAGCACTGTATTTCTACTTGTGCAATAAAAGCTGTCCTGATTTTTGAGTTACCAACTAAAGATTTTAACATATTCTCAATTTATAATGAAAATCCCAACATATGTTTTTCCTAAATGTTTGAATTCAATCCATTTGTCTTTAAGTGGATTCTATGTAAACTCTGATAGTCAGCAAAAATAGCTAATCCATCAAGAAATGAAAATAACTACCTTATTCACACATGTCACTTCGTCACTGAGTGATAACCAACTTCAGTCTCTCTATGTCCGAATCATGATCAAATGCTATTTGTCAAGATGTAGTGTAGTTATTGGTATATCTCGGATTCCTAGTGCACTTTATTTGACGTTTCGTGGTTTGAGACAACAAAAAGGAGCTAAGAACTTTTTCGCCAAGTGATAAATATCAACAAGACCTCGAGAGGACTGGTAGTACTCGAACACATGTTACCCAGTACTATAATTAAGGAACCTCTCATCTAGCTATTCAGACCTCCTGTAAGTAGAGACGTCTATACTCATCAGTCACTGAATGGTTACAAATGTAGTTTTGTCTCATCCTTAATTCTGATAGAATTATATCGAGGTAATAAAAAACGGCAAACTATTGACCACTGAGTAAGCTTTTTTTCTAATGACGAAAACGTCTAAACTAAAGTGTCACTCACTTTTCTCAACTTCCATTCGTTTTAACTGTTACTTTTTTATGATATAGTTCGATCACTAAATTGTTAAGAGATTTTATAATCTATAAAATAGCATAGCAATTATTTCATTTTAAGTTATGCTAACGCTTATATATGATCATGACATTTTTGCGAGAATATGAGATTACATAAATTCTCCCAGCTTTTTGGAATAAATATTGGTCATCTTAATTTTTTTGTAGTTTCAAGTAAATTCAGTATTAGGTAGGAAGTTAATAATAAATACATTTTTTGTTATATTTCAGTGAGCAGAAAACTATTTCCAACGTTTCGTGACTTAATGTAGGCCACTTCTTCGGAGTATGGAGATGGGTTACATTAAGTCACGAAACGTCAAAAATGCGTTTTTCTACTCATTGGGGTATCACAAAAAATTATTTATTATTGGTTACTTAGTTTACATATTCACTTTTCGCTTGCTTGATACGCAAAATATCTTCTAAACAAAGTAATATAATGACTACCAAATATGGAAATCAGTAAAAACAGTTGTTTTAAGATTACTTATCGATAACTTAAACGGTTTTTTACGTTTCATTCTGAATTTATTTTGTTTATTTTTAGTGAAAGATGGAGCGAACATCTCGCTCGATATTCCCCACAGTTTGCCTCTAAATCTGTTAATAAACGCCAAACATGGCATGCCGAAGCTAACATAGTAACGCCAAGCGTGGTAAGTTTCATCAACTAGCATTATATATTAATTGTTCAGCTAAATGAATTTAAGATCCTTGAGCTTCTAAATAAACAACTTTATATTAAGAAAACTATGGTTTGATTACGAACTTGGTAATCTTTGAACACAACACTTCTACAATTTCACCTCTATCTGTTGTAACGTGTGAACTGCAGGTTGGATGCGCAGCGTATTTATCGATCGATCCAGTGACACGTAAAACACGTAATGAACGGCCTAGGGTTTTTGATTGACCCCGCTTCCCTGTCTAGCCTAGCCAGTTGAGTCCAGAACGCAAGTCTTAGCCTCTGAGATATGAATCATTATATTTCAGACATACTCTATTTATATACCAACCAACCAGACCACATCGTACCATAAAATAGAAAACAACATTTGTACAATATTTGACAGGTGAAATGAATATCGACCAATGGAAATGTCCATTTAACGTCCAGGGACACCATTAGACTTAACACGACAATTATTGGTATATTCCTCTGCATCCCTAACACTATCGGCCAGTAATCTAGGATATTTACCATTCTACTCATCGATATCTCTCTTAGTTTCTGGTTAAAAACTAGATTAAATTACTAATTAGCTTCAGAGCACTTACGCCAATTTTTAACTTGATTCTATAACTCCCGGGACTTATTAAATTTTATATTTTTAAAGCTAAACATTTAACTTACACTATATTTTATATTGGACAAGATTGAAAGATTATGAATTAAACCCAAATATTCTAACACATATCCATCATATATGTGTATACTGTTGATAATACATTTGCAAATTCAGAAATATCATGAATTCTCAGAATACCAATAAAATATAATAATTCAGCATTTTATTCTTGTGAAAAAACGGCCACTTTACCAACGTTATACCAATAAGTAATTGTTTATGTATTAAGAAAAAAATAATAAAGCTTGAGAATTTCTTTTCTACAAATGTTTTTTTTAGAATATGTAACCAACGGTAGAAAATTATTGGCATTAATAATAATAATAATAATTATTATTATTATTACTATTATTATTACTATTACTATTATTATTGTTATAAACAGAAGAAAATTGATTGATCGTATTCAACATCTCAGAAATATAATTCATAGTAATAACAGTAATGATGATTAAAATTAGAATTTAAAATATGGAATTCAGTTTGTTCACCATTCACATAAATAAATAAATAAGAATTTGTCAAAAAGACACTAATCATGTAAATTTTGCATTGATTTCATGATACCTTATTTTTCATTATGATCATATTAATACTATTAATAACATTTAGCTATCTAGTAATAGTAAATGATAAAATGTTTAGTAATATGTGTATCAGGATCTATAACTTAATTGTGGTTTAAATAAGAATAAATACTATCGACAAATATAATATGAAAGATGCTTTACTTCTTTGTTTTAGCTAATTTTACTGTTGAACCACCTAATTCATGAATACTATGTAAAAACTAATCAATTTCTTAAAATTACCTGGACCACTTTTCATTTGAGTCAGCTACGGATTGTGATATAAACGATTGCGAACTACTCTACTAAATGAAAATGGATGAACAGTGATTTATAGAGTTTCCATGCACTTAGAACCACATTTCTGAATGTATTTACATTCTTAGTAAATAAATGTATTCAACTATTGTGATCAGATCAAATCAGCTTACTATTCAGCGTGAATACATAGAAAAGATTTGTAAAGCCTCAGTATGATTAACTAGACGTATTTTGATGGCACTACTGTTTAATTTCCAACATTCTGAACTGTCCAAATCAATATCATCTAGCCTGTTTTATGTTTAGTGCTAATTATTAGCAGTTCACAATAATATTTGTTTTTGATTAACCCATTAAGTCACTATTGTTCAATCAGCTTAGTACCATCTCATCCCTTAAAATTTAAACTTGGTAATTCTATTAATGATCAATTTTGTCATAATATAAATGAATATATATGAATCATTTGGTCGATATTTCTTCAAAACATTTCCTCTATTCACACAGTCTCAAGTTACGCATAATACATGCACTCCACATTCTGAGTTCCATATGACATCCAGTAATAATAAATTGGTTTTTTTCATTAAACTTTTACCAACAGACTTGTAATTTTTAATTTCTCGCTAAATATTCAATCGAACTAAACATGGTTACTACTTCGAGGGACTTCAAAAAACTAAATAAACAACTTAATTCTCTGACGATGGAGATGCAGAAGAATTTGATAATTATACTAAAACGCCTCAAAAAACAAACAAATTGATCCATTTCATGAAACCAATTTCTAGAAATTAAACTGAATTAACTTTCATCTGCTAAGTAATTGATTATACTAAAAGAGAAGACTGAAGCCGTTGTTTATAATATACACGAAGCATTCAACTACGATCATTCAACTGTTCACAAATCATTAGTCAGTAATTAGAATAACAATGACGAAATAATCAACATCATTCTATCATTAATTCAGCATTTCTCAGTCATTTCATTTCATTTACATTATAGAATTTGTTTTACAGAATAACGTGTAATTTATCGTCGATTTCTTTTCTTTTTTCTTGTCATAATTATATCCTTTTTTATAGGGAGATGTTGAAATAAAAGTAGTAAGTTATATTTCATTTTAAATATATTATTGTTTTCTATATGAGTTAATTCATACTACTATTTTTCTTGAACAAATCATATCAATTATATCATTAAATAAATAAGAATGGTGGCATTGTTTTGTAAGTTAATTATTATTTTATTTTGTATACACCTGAAATGTCTATGAGCACATTAAAAACGACTCTATTTATAAGTCATTAACAAGAAAACTTGAAAGAGGTTTCTTTTTTTTGCTAGATTATGTCGTTAAAATTTAGGATCAAAGGTATCTTTATTGATTGACATGTTTAGGGAAATTAACTTGAAATTATTAAAAGACAAAATAAACTTATGATTATCAATATTATAATATAATTCCCTTTATGAGTCACATTTTGATATTCTGATGAAGTTTTCAATGAATAAGGATTTTTTTCAAGGTAAATACATATTGAAGGTTTTATTTATTCTTAAGGATGTTAATCTTCACTAGTTCAACAAGACATTATCATTAATTATTGAAAAAGTGCTTATTCTTAACGTTTCTCAAACTCTTTGACTTGATTCAAATTGATCTTCTTAGAATATTACACCAGTTTATTCTTCCAGATTTAGTAAAATGACAGTTCGACGATTTCAATGTATCCACTGGATAGAATAAAACGCCACTTAGATAAAAACTGAAACGTTTTTGGCCAATTTTATACTTTTCAGGGAGCAGTAAGCAAACCTTTATACTCGTAGTATTAAAACGTTCACATCATGTCGTTATCAAATAGTATGGCTATTGTTCTTCGTAGAATCGCGAATCCTCAATACATTATTTCGAAAATGTAGTGAAAAGATGAAGTTGGTCTAAAATATACGGTATATTTGTTCATATCATTTGGAAAACGTTGATCACTATTTAATTAAGTAATTGGACAAAGTTGTTAAAGATAAAACGATATGAAATACGATACTTTCACTTGAACATAGTCAAAATAATAGAATGTTTCTTTCTGACTTTCAAGATTCTTTAACTTTCATTTTCTTCAAACTATACATCAAAGTAAATTCACAAAACTTTGAGCTGTAGTAACTAAAAATGACTAGTCTATCTTAAGCTAATATTCCTTTGTTATCCAAATGTCTTGGTAATCAGTACCATTTTTATGCCCAAGTACTTGTAAAGTTTAGCTGTATATATTATATATTACCAACTTATTATAGACAGAGTTATATTGTCGAAAAATATCACTCTTCTCATTAATTTTATGGGCTAAACATGAAAGTCTGTATTATCTGTAAGGTTTGCATTGCATTAAATTTCTAACCATTTTCAATAATATAATTTAAAGTCGATATAAATTTAAATATATTGTTTCTTCTCAGACACAAACAATCTCACCACGCCATTCTCCTATTCCTTCTGAACGAGCCAGAACTCCTTCACCCGTGCGTCAAATTGGTAAGTGAATGTAATCACTTCTAAATAAAACTCTAAAAGTGAAATCAAGTCGAATAATCATTATGTGTAGTGTTTTAATCTTCATATGTTATGTTTCATTTGAAGAATGTATATGATCACCGGGAAACTTCAAGTAGATCAACTGTTAATGCCCATATAAATAAATTGAATAGATGATTTTTTAATTTCTCTTCCACTTAAGTTTTAAGATGAAATAACTTTCATCAAAAATTGTCCGATCAATTTATTTGAAACTTGAATACCATACGTTATAACTTAATGCATCACTAATATACTACTTGGTACACAGAATAAATATCACAAAACCCATGAAATGTAGAAATTGACTTTTATCGAAGATTTATTATTAATTATACAGTATTTCAAATTACAGTAACTGAAATATGGTAACTCGCTTGAATTGACTTGAGATAGATTTTTCTCGAGAAGATAATGCTATATCGAAATCGAAGTAAACATAATTCTAATACCTGTTCTTCTTAGTGATCTTTCTGCTTATTTACTTACGCTTTCTGACTACTTCAAAACTCAATTGTGATCAAAGTATAGAATCACTGATAGATTTTTCCGGAGCCTGTAACTAATTTGGTTTAGATTCCGGATCATTTCTACTCTGAAATACAGTGATCTCCATGTAGTAGTGTAGTCAGTCGAGATCTGGCAGCAGTATTCAGTTTATAATTTGTCACCACGAGTGTGTTTTCTTATGTAGTGTGATTGTTTGATTTTAATCGAGTTATTCTAAATGCCTATAATTTATAGTGTTTGTAAGATTAAACCGGTTACTTTTTCTAGGCACGGAAACCGTACCTATGGACAATGTGAATACAGCAGTATTAAATCTTACTAATGGTAATCCAACTATTTCGTATTTTTGGTTATTATTATTATTATTATCAACAAACAGGCAAAAGAGATTATGTATGCTTTTACATATATTTGCACTTTTCTTGTAAGATTTTATATGAGCTCTATAGCATTTTGTCTTAATCAGTTCCATATACTTAACACCACACCTATCATCTTTCTTCGTAGTTACAGTGGAAAAATCTCCAGAACAAAGAGTGAAGTCAGTAGATCAACGTAGTAGCCACCCTCAGCGTCGTTGGGATTCTGAAGAAAAGTAAGTACACAATTATATATGTTTCAATCATTTGTTCACGTGATATATTCTCAACTTATTTTATGTTGTTAACATAAATGATAAATAAGTTATGTTTAAAACTTTTGATCTTCCTAATTTGAAAGTACTTTCTCCATTATATTTCCATGATCAGATGTTTTTGTATATTTTATTACTATAACTAAGAGTAAATTAATTCTAACTGACTCAGTTGCAGTATACTAGTATATATATGTATACTAATATACTACTGACATACATATCAAAGAAACAAAGGAGTTATGTTATAACTTGTGAACCTATGTGCCCTGTATATTGGATAACGCAACGATACCGCCAATCAGAGAGTAGCGAATTACAGACCGAACCAGTGACACATAAAACACGTGCGAGCAGCCTAGAGTCCTGCTTCCCGCCTAGCCCAGCCAGTTGAGTCCCGAACACCAATTTCAGCCTCTGCAATATGAATCATTTATTTCAAACATACAGGATTTATATACCAATCAAACAGACCACAACGTACCATAAAATAGAAAATAACATTTGTACAATATTTGACCAAAAGTGACTGTGAATGAGGGAGATAGTAATCAATAGACAGGGCATAACTCAAGAATGGTAAATCGTATAATACTAGTCTATTAGTCAAATAAAAGCTTATAATAAGAGAGATATGAATATGAACAGTTTAGTTGCATAACAATTATACGATAAAAATATACTGATAGTATTGTTCCATGAATGGATCCCAATAATTACCATTCATTATTCTTATCGGGATATAACACCCCCTCCTTTTTGAAGATCCGGATTTTAAACTTTCCGAGTTTATCCTCCCCCCACGGAACAGTGTTGGATCCTCATATTCCCAAGTTACAATTAATTTGACTTCATTTAAAACATATTTGTCACATTGAACAGAGAATTTACTAAAAGTGGTTAAATGGTGAGGACCAACGACGCTTGGTATGAGGTCATCAAAGTTTGATTCTTCTGAAACATTGTCATCGAATGTCTTGAAAATCTCATTAGTAGGTAGTCAATCACTAGAATAATCAGAATCTATCAAAATTTTATTAGGTTCTTGATTATCGTTTGATGCATCCGACAAATTTTTCTCATTTTTGCAAGAAATTTGATCAAAAGCATAGGAGTCATTAAGATAACTCATATTTGATAAAACTAGAGAACTCCAATAAGTAGATTCATCATAAAATTTTGGTGTGGAATGATGAACTCCATTTGATGCAACGGTCTTCATTATGCCGCTTGGTTCATTTTCTGTCTCTTCGCGGGCGGCTACTGCAATAATTTCATGAGCATTTTATAAGACGTCGTCTGTCTGTGAGCTGGACAAGTCAGTGTTTGTATATGGTGTTTCGGGGGCAATGGGATTTGAACCCATAGGACATGTCTGTGAAATGGATATTTCTGGACCACTGGGCGGATCATGAATGACTGCTACTGCTTCGCTTACATCACTGCTCGTCAAGGATTCATAGAGGCCCTTATCGACACATCCATACGTCCTGCAGTCATTTTCCAGCGCGGTATGTAAATTAGAAATTAATTTATCAACTTCTGTTACATCTCCAAAACATGGATGATTTAGCAGCCGTGTGCGTAAATTGTCTAAAACATTCAATTGGGTATTTTTGAAACGTTGCTGTTGTCGCTCAAATAACAACTGTAATTGATCGGAAGAGATAGTCATTTTCTGAATCAGCACGGTAATGAGAAATACTGTATGATTAATTAACAACCAATGTCTTCCAAGAACACCCATGACCAATCTGGATGCTGATTGCTCGAAATAATTAGACTGAATTTCGTCCAATTACAGGCTGACGTTGAAGATTGAGGGTTCAAAATTTGTTTCCTACCCCGTCGCTAATTGTTATAGCTTGTGAACCTGTGTGCCCTGTATATTGAATAACGCAACGATACCGCCAATCAGAGAGTAGCGAATTAGCGATCGAACCAGTGACGCATAAAACACGTGCGAGCAAGTTAGTTGGTGTTAATTTGAAGAAACACTTGAAATCAGAAATTTGTTGTCAATTACTTTGTATTAATTTACAACTGACCAATTACTATAAACTATTGTTGTATTAAAAATGACTCAATTCATTAAATAGTAATGCATCGTATGGCTGTAGTCACCGTTAACATGATTTATTTCAAATGTATAATAAGTCGTATGCACAAGTAAGTTTCATGTGTCACATATACCAATAATGAACTTCTTCGAGTTACTGCTTCACGATTAGCATGACTGCGTAGTATTGTTATGATATCAAATATCTGATCCAAATAAATTGTTACGCTAAATTCTGTCAGAAGTAATTCAGTAATTTTGTTATCTATGCTTTTAGATGGTGTGTTGTAAATGTACTACATGTAGGTGCAAAACCTCAAGAGCTAACTGTACAACCAGGCGATGTTCTACAAGTAAGCCATTATTTTAAATACGGAACCACTGTTTTTTTGACTTACTTTTAAAGAGCTAGTAATAATTAATGCTTAGTGTAATATTTATTCTGTCTGAGTTGTTGTATTTGCCTCCATTATATTTTTTTCATTTGTCCTACGGATTAATATTTTTCCAGTGTGTAAAGAATTCCGCATGAAATTGATTTTCATTATAAGAAAGGTTTTACTGTATTCTATATATTCATAGTTATGTTTCTTAACTCAAATCTATATTACACTGCAATAAAACACTCATCACTAAGTACAACGAAACTTTACCAACATAATAAGAAACCTCTGAAAGTATGAAAAAGTAATTTTCAATCAGCTTACGTGATATGGTACATCAAGAACCATGGCATTATGTACTAATAGTGATCAGTATCAAATCAGTGTTTGAATAACCTCCACTTTCATATCATAACATTTTTATTACATAATTAGATACATTTTACTAAATATTTCTTACTGGTTTACAAAATATGGTGCTACAATTAATCAAATGTTAAATCTGCAACGGTAACTAGCTGTTAATTTGAAATAGTTGATATTCTTAGCGGAAGCATGTTGTATTTAACTTTCTGACCGGCACTTGATTTTTATGTCTTCATATTTTTATAATTAAGTATAGTGAACATGCATCAATCAACTTTTTCTTCACTTTAATGGAATCTTTTCAAAACAAAAGCAGTGTTATTATCGCCATGGTTTATGACAGAAGTCATTATCAGACTGGTAGAAGCTTAGCTAATATATGAAATTCAGTTTTACATAAAGAAAATCCTGTAGCTGGTATTAACTCTTCACCATAACTTTTTTTAACACAAACATGGATAACTACTCTTTACTTGTGACTTTTTGAGTTTTTAGATTAAAGCAAAATTGTAACCTCGAGGCAGTAAATAAACTCTTATCCTGCCAATTACATACTTAAATAATTCAGTGTATACAAGAGTAACTTATTTTAAGATGACTCTATAACAAGGACAACATATCATAGGTTAGTGGACAATGTTTCCTGATATCTGAAGTTTCGTCATATTCGATTCAAAGCCCCATGCTTAAATTAATCATTTATATATACCTTTTTCGAACCAAATAAAATTGAGATGAGTTATGTAAATTCAGATCACATCTGATGGCAAAATATTAAAACGGTCTATGTTAAATTACGTAGCATACTAGCAATCTTCTGATGTTTTTCTTAGATTCACAAACTCTACATACTATTCACTACATATTTTGTTAATAGTATCCAGTTGATCATTTCATAGAATGCTTACAGTTGTGTGGGTTTGATACTATGTAGTATTGAACTAATGATAATGTCTATTTTGACTGTAGTTACTATTTTTAATATAAGAAAAATACGAACTCATAAAGCATTTGTTTGAAGGCATTCACATTTTGAGAAGGAAATGTTTCAGATCATAAATATAAGTCTTCCAATTCATTTTCAAGTTTAATGAAATATTCTATAATTGTTTCTTCACTTGTTGGTTTAGATTCTAAATAGCAGTAAAGGTGATTGGTGGTTATTACAAAATGATGCAGGAGAATCTGGTGAAGTACCTGCTTGGAAATTAAAAGCTTATAATTATCGACCGGATCATCCAACTACAGCTGGATTAAAGAAAACTCCATCGATGAATAATTTATTCTGTAGAAAATCTACTGAAACATTTGGAAATGATAATGATAATGTTAGTTTGGAAAATCATTCCAATTTCCAGTCACAAAGAAATAATTCACATGCGCCCAAAAGTATACTACGTGATAAGTCTCCAACTAGGCAAACAGATACTTCTGTTTTAAATTTAAGTATACCTAATTCACCTACAGGACAAAATTCTAACAATGATAATAGAATTATGAATGATAATTTTAATACCAATGCTAATAATAACGTTATGTATATAACACCATCACAACTTCAAGAAGCAATCAAAATTAATAGTAATTTGCCAATGATATTAATTCCAGTGCCTAGTTTATATAGTAATAATTCCGATATGTCAGCGATTAATTGGTCTAATCTAATTAACCCAAATACAAATGGTGCTGAGTTAGCGAGAACTCCCAATCCTGGTGCATTAGGACCAGGCTGGAAACCAGCTCCAATATTGAGTACTTCAGCAAGTAAATTTCCCTATTATTGATTGTATACATTCATTATATTGCAAATTTAATTGGGTTTTTATTATTTTAGCATATTTGACAGGACATTTTCCCGTTTTCTGTACGTACTTAATGTTTATTGAACTTTGTCAGTTCCTATGAAAATGTCTAGTTGTCGATACTCCATTAGGAAAGGTCATTAAGGTTTCCAAACTTACAATATTTAATCAGAAAATGATATTATAATTCATCTGAAATTTAGGGCACGTTTAAAGAGCTTTAAATTAAACAGCTTACAGAATTTAATTGAATTATGAATATGGTTTTCGGTGCTGTAGTATCAAACTATCGACCACCTAAAGTATATAATTAGATTATTTATCGTGTTAATAGACATTTTCCAAATAGATTAGTACATCTCTCAGCTGAATAAACTGTCAAGTTTATGCATAAAAACAATGATGTAATGTTCTAATACTAGTTTTTAAGCAATGATTGTAAACTTTTCATTCTAATAAAAAGGTAGAATCTCACAAATCTGGATCATTTCATAATTTTGAACAAAGAATGGATAAATAGTATGATTTGGAAATAGATATAAGTGTATGCATTTTTATGGTTTCTCTCCGACTGCAAACTGTCTAGAATTACGAATAATTATGGGGTTTAAAAAAGATGAGTGATATCCTTTAGTTTAGGTGGTTGAAATGAAAATCTACAATGGAATAACAGGCCAGAAAATATGACATAGACGACATTCCACATTATTATTAAGATGAATGCACAGTTATATACGGAAGTATTAACCAAATAAAATGAAAACATGTAAAGTAGTAGATAATAATACTAAAACTGGGAACAAGTGATTACACAATTGACCGACATACTTAAAATAAAATCAGCTCATTGATTTATTTCGATAATGTAATAAGACAACGAAGATTATCAAAACTATGTGATATATTAGCGCAATACATTTATGCAACATTTTTACAAAAGCTGTTCCCTAAAATATAACTGAATATTGTTCTGGTTTCTAACACAAGTAACACCAAGTAAATAGGACATTTCGTGTTCCAGTGCATTAACAATATACAATAATGTTAATATTTCTTTAAGATACCTTTAAGATATAACAAATGTTATTGTGGGTTGAGAACAAAAATTGATGTAAGCACTTCTCTCTATTCATAAAACTTGAATTATTTCACTATCATCAATACTAGTATAAATATTCTGAAATTTTTGTCTACATTACATGTCAAAATCCATATAACTATACATCTGACTATTTCTAATGTTCAGTTTTAATTTCATATTTAATGGTATCTTTTCATGCTTTCATCAATTGTTTTGTTTTCTTTTTTAAACTTTTGACCTAATCATAATCATTGTTATCACCATGTGATGTATTCATTGGTAAATGAAGCTGAAGGTTAGTTATTTGCTTATATTATTCATAATTAACTAATTAAAAGGATAAATCATTAAATGTTAATATTGAACCGTTTAACTAATTTCTTTCGTGTGAAAATTAGTTTTCCTGAATAGTAGCAATAATGTTTTCCTACACATTGTAATTTCTATGCAAATCAGTTTTATACAGCGTTAAACTAATGTTGGAATTTTAAATTTTCTCTTAAATAAAAATGTAGTCATATTCTCAATTTTCTACCCCACAAGTTCGTACAAAAATCTCCGACTTTTCTGAGCTACTAATCGAAGTCATATAGAAACGTATAAGCCTTTTGATAGACCTTATTAAGTTAATTGACCACAGACTTTAGGTTTCATGGGTCAAAATCGATCGATTTGGATAAAATGCTGGTATAATTTGGCGTTTTTCCTATTATGGTACAAACTCAAAATGTTAATCTATCATTTTATAACCTGAAACTTTCGTGGAAACTGTAAAATATCTGATCATTTACAAAGAAAATGAGTATAGTGCGTAGCAGCTATCATTGTTTGATTCATTATTTGAAACCCCTTCATTGAGTCCACACATGCCCCGAAAAATGGATTTCTGTTAATTCTCATTTTATTTGTTATATTTCAAGTTATTTAATAAAAACATATAGAACTAACTCATCAGAAACTGAAAATATTATAATCTCAATCTTTTGATAATTTTGTTAAAGATAGAATACATATAGGAGGATTCAAAATAAACTGATAGGCTTTATGATACTTTGAACGAATTATTATTTAGTATATATCCTTTATCAATAGCTTTTTAGGAAACTACCATATAAAGCAAGATTTAAATTTACATAGATGAAAATAATTTTTTGGGCAATAAGAAATCGTTTTGTTTAGTTTGCATACGTATATATCTATATAATAACGTTGTATGGTGAAATAGTTTATGTATCACACAACTGCACAATGTTAGATGTCATAATAACACAAACAATACAAATTATTACTACTTTAAAAAAAACTAATGTAATCATTGACTTTTGTGTACTGAACTTATCATACAATTATTCACTGACACGTTTTGCAGACCAAAGACTTAATTCTTGTTAGCTGCAACTTTAAAAGATTAAGCAAGTATTCATTGGTTCATAAATCTTAGATCATCATTACCTGACGTAAAATATTTCGAAGTACTGTCTTCTATCTCATATATTTGAAAAATAATTTTAGCATACAGGAAAAAATATTTTATTCATCTGAATAGAACAAACAACATGAAAAGTCTTTATTCGATATTTGGGGATGCTCTGGCTCTGAAAATAAGTTTCTTGCAGAGTAACTACTATATGCTAAGAATTGGAGTTGATCAATGGTACACATGACTTTCTGATTACACATTTTATAAAAGTTATTTCTAGAGTTTGACATCAAAACACCTCCTTAGCAATTAATTATTAATGTAGAAAGCATTCTAAAAGTGATAATGTTAGTCAACAAAGTATCGAGAATTCTAAAGTAATGGAAATCACCCTATCTATACGCACCTCAGGACTTAATTTAGGACTTCAAACATTTCTCATTAGTCTCGCATATCTGCAGGTTCAAGATTGGAATATCCATGCATCTCTGATCTCTATTACTTGTTGTCTTGTGCGATACCACACTCTTTAATTTCATACCAATTAATCAAGTAGATTTTGCGTGAAGCTTTTTTCTTTTCTAGTTTTTTGCTCTACTATATTGAATATCATGCATCACATATGCAGTTTGAGCCTAATAATACTAGTGAACATTTCACATTCATTCAAAAGAAAAAGGTTATTTTTTAGATAGATTGAAATGCATAATGTGTATATTTTTTGGTATAATAATACATCGATCGTTTAAAACATTCTAATGGAATAATAATACTTAATGCACTTCTTACTTTTGATTCTCAGTTAGGAGTGTCCTACAATTCTTGCATAATTTAATGTATATCTATATGTATATCTGTGTGTATGCATTTGTTTATGTTAGCTTTGGGCTACTCTCCATATCCTTTCAATTATCGTAAGTTCTATTTTGTGATATTAATTAACAGTAGATTGTAACTTGTTTATTATTTCTTTTGGTTATATTGCCTAATTATCCTTTTGTTGTAATAATTTTGATCTAACATGGTTTGTTATAACTGCTATATCGTATACTGATTTTTCTAACACTAAATCATCAAATCTTAATTTCAGTTGTAGAAACATTTCATTTTCAGTTATATATATCACTCATAAGATGGAATAATTCTGAGAATTTGATTAATTGGAAAGATTAGTATCATGTGAGAAATAGTTTCTTACCTAGAAGGTTATGAAATTAACCGAAAACGTTTTCATTCTGTAAGATGGCAATGATATCTACTGTTAAGTAGTCTAAAACTAGAAAAAAAGTAACTGTTGTTTAGTGCTGTTTGGATTGTAACAGTTTATCAACTGACAGTTTTTTTGAATAAATTTTTTTAAAAGTTTTGTTCTATTTCTTATTAATACACACATTGTTTCTACACACTATTCAAATGTCATCAAAATATATTTCTATTTCGTTGTCAAAACAAAAACATTTTATTACCTAACATTATTAATGACTAGACGATTTAAGTAATACGGATTATTGCAAGTTAGTTGATCGAATTTAACATGTTTATTTTTAAGCAAAAAAGAAGCAAGAACAGAATTGTTCTTGAACAGTTATGAAACCTTTATTTCTGTTTAGATTAACCCTCATTTGAATATATGGATGATAATCGGCTCTATAATAAAAATTTAGGTATTTGTTGTAAAGCATAAATATTCATATGGGAACTTTTTAGTTATTAAGTTTATTGAAAATTTAATATCTCAGCCATAAAAATTTGAATTTCAATTCGCTTTTGTATTGATTGTTTGTATGAATTAAAACTTCACCTCACTGCACAAGCTAGTGGCTATCTGCACTCACTAGCTAAGTGGATAACCAGATGACGTTAATAGGTTCGAGTCCCGGAGTGAATATCAAGTACATCCAGATGACGAGTCCCTGATAGGGCGAAATGCGCGTCCTGGATTCCACTGCTAGCAACCATCCATCTTTGCCTGTTTAAGTTTTAATGTTTATGTAATGTTTGTTTATCATTTCCTGTTAGGTTTTCAATAGGCTTAGTGACTAATTAAAAATCTCCCATATGAACATTTGTGCCTTAAATACCTAAATTTTTATTATGGAGCTGATTAGCATCCATATACTCAAATTTATAGTTAGTTATTCATGACTGATAGTCAATCTTATGAAGTCTCTTATAGCTTTGTTATCACTGTTAACAGAATAATCAAATCTTACTCAACTTGATTACGCATTAAACATTTATCATGGACCCAACTATTAATCTGCTTGTTGCTAATGATTATGGAATATCAAAATATATTATTATCCACAAAATCTATACATGAAAATTATCGTCATTCTGTCGATTAGATGGGATCAGACCAGCAGTGGAATCCAGGATGTGATTTTTGTCCTATTTGGTACTCATCAACCGGATGTACCAACACGAAACGTGCACCCTGAATCCTACTGCTAGTTAAATTCTTTCTATCTTATAAAAACTTGTTACTAATCGAAACTAATAATACAATAAATAGTTATTTTCATGTTAATAAAACAAAAAACTGATTCTTTTATATATCCATATAAAAGTCACTGAATTCAATTTAAAGTTAATTTACATCCACTAAACCACAATGGACGTATTTCAGAACTTTAAATACTTATTTTTAAAGCATATTAATTAAAACGAATATTCATTACAGCATAGACTAAACGAAATTTTGTTTAAATTTTCTATGAAATAAAAAATCATCCATTATATATATATACCAGTTTCGTGAATTGGTTAAAGTTAGACATTAACACTCGTTGTACGCCGGCTCTTTAGTCTGGATGTTAAGCATTTGTGCTCGAGACCGAAGGTCCTGGCTTCCATTCCTGTACGAAGGATCATAGATGTGCACTGCTGAGGAGTCCCATACTAGGATGGAACAGCCAGCCAGTACCTCCAGGTTTTCAATGGTGGTCTAACATTAGTCGATTCATGATCTCAATAATTTTATAGTTTTCACATCATACACAACCGTATTTGGCACATATTCAACTTCTTTCGATTTTATAATAAACCAAGCTTAATGATTAACATACTAAACAAAAGCCAGATAACAGCATTTCTGGTGAACGCTTTAATCGGTCGTTTTTTTAAAATGATTATTATTATAATATCTCGTTAAAATATATTTATTACATTTCATTCAAAAAATACATTGAAATATTTGAATTTGTCAATGATATTGTCTAATTTATCAATTAATTAGGTTAAAATAGTTGTTCTATCACATCAAACTTTAGTGCTAATAATAATAATAATAATAATAATAATAATAATAATAATAATAATAATGCTTATCATCAAAGTTTACTTTTAAGTAATCTAACGAAAAATCACCAATGTCCTACTGTTTATTCACCCGCGTTGCTCATAAATTAAATATTTGTTACCGTTTCATTTAATTCATTATCACATTCGTTCTATAATGTGAAATATAACTAATCGATTGGTGAAGAAATATTTTATTATTAAACGATTCATGTTTGCTAATAATTAATTGTTATGAAAAGTCAGTATTCATCGAGAATCTCCTACTTCACCTAAAATATATACTTACTTCGTCTTATGATGTATTCTAGTATTGTATTATGGGTGTTAATAGCGTTAGTTCACCCATTATTATGTATGTTATTCTGATTATAAAGTTTAGGTATAATTCAAATAAGATAAAAAGTCAAAAGAACGATTATGAAACTAGGAATGCTTCCCAATCAGCATTTGCTATTAATATGCGTAAAGTATCAGGTTTACAAGACATTATAATTAAGACGTTATCTGAAAATGCCCTTAAAAAGTATTTTCATGCATAATAGTAACAAGTTGCCCACTTCAACTATACCATATTTAAAAGACACCTGGAACTTAATCCTGAAAACATCAGTCCTTTTATTGATTTCAGAAATATGAAACTTAGTTCAAAGGAAAAAGTCAAAAATTTATGCGACCCTGATTTAAATAAATATGAAGAGTATACAGTATTCATTTCATAGAAACAAAGTGATGAGAAATTCAGAGAAATGATTCATAATGATGATGTACTTCAATGAAAACAAAAATTTTATAGACATTGGTAGATAGTTTTAGTTTACATTAAAAATGACCCATCTTAAAAAATAGAAGAGAAAATATCTATTTGTTACTAGTCTTCAAGTGTTAAATAGTTAAAATCATTAACTTGAAATCAGCTCACATACAATCGAGCCAAATTATACTCAGATATTGTTTTCATTTAAGTGAACTTAAACAAAACTATTCTTGAATATATAACATAGGAAAATGATAAGTATACCAGTATTAAAACATTATTTCAGTGGAGAATATCAACAAATAGTGTTGAATTTAATTTACTTCAATCATCAGAAACAAACTAGGACGATATTCACTTGATCAGTAAACTGTGAATAACATTTTCTTGATGTTATTTGATAAAAACACTTTGAATATGTTACAATTTTAGCGCAAGATTACATTCCATGCATGGAAAAACATTTACAGAACTACTATTTTTATTGACCATTCTGAATCGCTCAAGACCTGAATATTTATAAACGTATTTTTTATTGAATATCCATGTTTCCAAAGCATATCATGAAAAGATTCTTCATTTTTACAACATTATTTCTATAAATCACTCATTTATTTCCCATCCTCAATACTTAGTTGATAAAATTAATTAAGGAATTTATTATCCAGTGAGAAACTAAATATCTTTCCATATCATTATGGTAACACTCACTGATTAATAATAAGTCATATAACCAAAAACGCGATTTTGCTGACTTGGATGATATCAAGCACTGTATGTTGTGTACCAATCTTGCAATAAAGATATAACGACATCAAATGAAATTGTGAATAGAATTATTATATAATTGATAAGAAAATTCTATTCTCAAATGTAAACAGGGTTGTTTCATTTATGTTTAATAAGACTTCTTTAATTTAATAAAAAATAAGTGATCTGATTGATTTTTACTGTGTGTATGTTTAGTTTCCAACTGTTTCAATCTGAAAATTGACAAACTCAAATCGAGATCATACTGCTTATCTTATCAAAGTTACTGACTAATATATTGAGACGCCTATTATTTTATCATCTATGGATGTTACGATATGAAGCAACTATATGATAATAGTGCACCTTACGTACATAAATTCAGTTCCATAAGTATAAAATGTAGAATAACTTATTATAGACAATTGTCCTGAGGTGCAAGTATTTAATGCCATGCTTAATAGCAACAAAATTAAAATACTAAGAAAAAACACTCAACCTCCCATGCTTGCATTACGTATGATCTGTCTTTAAATAATCGATTTTTTCATACAAACCATTGTTGTACTAACTTTTAATTAAATTTAATAAATAACTAACTGCTTCACGATTAACTAATCCTTGCATTTATAAGTAATAATCCCATTTCTTTTCTGTAAATTTATGCTATGTATTTGTATATTATAGCAACTCATATGCATACTATGACAAGAGAATTGAGAGAAAGATTGTCTAAAATGCAACTTGGAGGAGGAACTGGTCTTAAATCAGTGCCTATACCCTCCACGACACTTGATAAACCTGATCAAAGATTATCAAAATATGCATCCAAGGAAGAAGTTGCAGAATGGTTAGTAGCGCATCAATTCTCGCCAAAGTAAGTGCCCAAACATAAAAAGTGAACTTAAGGTGTAACAAAATTTCCCAAGAAAGATATGTATAAAATTCCTGATAAATATATTTGTGTTCAAACTATCCATAATATCAAGTGTTTATCAATAATTTCCTTTAGTTCTCACCTATAACGCTAGTAAGGTTACCAAATAGGCGATCGATGATCCTAATGTTAAACAAGAGAAAAAACTGTCTACTAATTTGTCAAAATCCTAAACAGAATGAATTGTTGTATACGTGTTTAGATCCCAACCGTACAACCTTCAAATGTTCTTTCAACTAAATGATAATTCTTGAATTTTTAAATATTATTTAGTTTAGATTAGCAAACGACCATATCTCAGGAACTATTTAAAACAAACATTGTACTACATTAGATTAATTCAAACCTTCTTAAGCATGAACATTTACAGTGATTCAACTTAAGTGGACTTTACCAAATGAAAATAGTATACTTCTTACGGTTTGTACAATGAGATCTTCGAAAGTCATTCACTGTCGAATTCATTTAATATTTTTGTAATAACTTTAGGGTCTTCCCTAGATTTGTCTGAATGAATTATTAGAAATATATCATCTATATTCCGTCATTTAACTACATTCTTGAGATGTGATTTGGTAAAATATATCTAAAAATTTCTAATATATACACAAAACTATAGCTCACTTAGATAAATGTATCATAACTCTGAAGTGATTTCTATTTACGTTACACGTATTAGGAAAATAAATATATAGTTGTACAAAGGTAGTTATACTGCAAATATCTTCGTAAGTACAGTTTAATATGTTAGCTAAATGTTCTCTTTGCATTACTCTTATAATCTTCATTAAAACAGTGAGATGTAAAAAAGAATATAAATGGAAGTAAATTAATTTTCACTACGTAAAATTGATAAATACTCACATATAAATACTGTCGACTCAAAAATTAACTAATGTTTATTACTTAGCAAAGTTTTGATCAAAATTAGCAAACATTCGTATCCAATTTGTATAGCTATTACAAAGATAATTAAATTATATGAATAAACTACTTATAATCACCTATTTTATTTACAATAAGCATTTTACTTTTTTCCATATGCATGCATATTAAACCAATATTGTGAATGTGTTGTTAGATTAAGTGATTTTATACATTAGAAATTATAATAAAACTAGCAATTGCTTAGGACTAAAAGAGATGTTACCGATATGAATGATATCTTGTCCAAAACTCTTGAAAATATTGTCGTAAAAGTAACTATTTTCGAAATGAACTGATACTGTTCTTAACATACATTAAGTTTTCCTATTTAGGATTACAATCCTGAATTAAACAGAATATCAATACACTAACAAATGATTTAATTTATTATTCATAGCAATTTATCATTTCTATGAACATAAACGACTTATTAATGGTGATAATGTGCATTTTACTTATAGTTTGTCTGAAATTTATGATTTACTTTTTCAGAGCTATATCTGCGTTGAAAGGATTTAAAGGAATGGATCTTTATACAATGAATCGAACCCAGTTAGAGCAACATGTTGGACCAGAGAGATGCGATGAACTATTTTATGCATTCCGAGGCACCTAATTCAATTTCAATAATTATTAAATTAATAATTATGTAAGTAATAGTTGTTCTAACGTTAATTCACTTTTCTTTTAAATGACCTCACACATATTAATGATAACTGCTACTGGCCTCATTGTTATTGTGTGGCGCATATGTACTTGATGCCTCCTTATACCAATGTTTATGTGTTCAAATAAACAATAAATAAATAAATACAACAAAAACCGAAAGGGTGGTTTATTTAACCGTATTATAAAATCAGAATTATTTCTAAAAGTGATAAATGATTAAGAAATTAATTCAAAGGCAATGATGAATAATATATTTATACTACCATTATTGTTAACAAATGAATTGAAATAGATTGTTAAGAGATTGATAGATTAGATATCTGGCTAGGGGATTGAAAGGTTTTGATGAGAAAATGTTTCATGAATACCTGCGTAAAAAGTGGTGGCTCAGTGCTTATAGCGTCTAACCTTCAACCACTAAGTTCCAGGTCCAAAATCCGCCCTACCGGCTTCAGTTTGGGCAACCGGGTAGTATCACTAGCCCTCACGCTTACGGTATGGTTCTCAGTAAAATACCTGACGAACGAATAAATAAGAACGAAAAACAACAATTTTTGAGTCGGAACAAAAAGACAAATGGAATTTCAGAAAGAAAGCGAAATAATAAGTAACTTTTATGTGATAGATGAAACTATTCCCCGATACTAATAAGTAAGGTAATAAGAGAGGTTGTAAAAACTTCTTTTGAATACAAAAATCAGGTTTGTGAAATACAGATCTCGATGGCCTCACTCACGTAAACCATGAGAGAAACTAGGTTGGATTTGGTAAATCATTACATATCAATTGTCGAAATTGTTTTAATAATCTGAGTGACTGAAGTTTCAATCATAGATTATTTAAATACAATATTTACATTTAATGTCTTTTATATACTCCGGCCCCAATTTATATCAGACTGTTCGTCCAAATTTCGACCACTAGAGTTTTATTAGAATTCACTCAATGCCCTGTATCTATAAAGTAAATAACTTTAGAGATCCTAATAACCTGAAACTACTATTTCCCTAACCATCAAAGATATTGTTTTGGAATTTAACGACCAACTTATTCAGTTGTGCCCCCAATGTAAAGAACGCTATAAGAAGTGTTCATGTGGAGGTTAATTCAGGCGGTATCTTTTTTAGAATTAGCAAGATCTGTTGGCTATTTATTTATTGTGTATACTCTGTTTTAACATTTCATCCAACCTGATATCTAGAAACGATATACTGTTATTTTATTCTTCATCTAAATTGAGCGTTATGGGTAGGTGAATTAATATCGCTGAACTTACCATGTGTATTATTCATATCCCTTTTTCTGTAAGTACCATGAAGGTACAATCTATGCAGCAACATTAAAACTATAGTTTGTCGTTTACTTCTTTAAACAGTCCATTTTCAGGTTGCACCAGATATATGTGCTGGAAGTGAACCCACAGGTAACCTTATAGCTACTATATCTCAGTGTATTATGGTGATATGTTCTCTAAGCTATACGGTTTAACTGAAGAACTTCCATTACCGTTCTCAACATCCCCATAAACCATCAGAGGATCAACACCAAAAACAATTACCAGGATACTGAAGCCCTTTGGAATACACATAACCAGCACAACCACTTCATTCCACTAATTCTACCCAGACCAAGAGGCACAACCGCACAAGGAGACAAATACAGCATTATCTACAGTAGAAATAGCCAAACTACTAGAAATATCACATTCACCAGACTGAACGCCCTTTTTATATATAAACAAATCAACAAAGATTGTCGGCGAGGCGAGTGATACTAATGCACACAGACAACCATGGAAATGAATGCGATTGGAGAAAAGTCAGAATTCTGGATCAGGTAAGCTCTAAGAATGCCAGGTAACTCCCGGAAGCATACCATTCAGACCAATTAGCAGTCAACAGACACACTGACATAGACCGAACCTGTGAACCCTTGCAGAAGAGGTCAATTAGTTTCAATGACGGACAGAAGTCAACTGACAAAGGCAGTCAATATGAATGCAAGGACAAACTGAGACAGTCAATCTCAAACAAGGCCATCGGGATGAACTGACATGCTACTTGCGGAAAAACTGGGAAACTTACTTCCACATGAAATGGGCGGCGAAGATGTCTAGGATGATAATGAAAGCAATTAAACCATCTAGGCCAGGAAACACAATTTCCCCAAAAGCATCCGCCTGAGTTGCAAATCTCTTCTATCATCCCAATGTCTGTAAACTTCACTGTTGAATTAGATGGACATACTCATTATTCACCTGGTGACTTATAACGGAAATAGAGGAATCTTGACTTGTTTGTCGCCCAATAAGCTTAGTGCATATGAAACAGTGTTTCCAGTCAATAAAAGTTGGTTAATAAGGATGACACAACTGGCGATACCATTAATTTATTTTTGACTTACTACCCAAAAATCTACAGTTGCTTATTTATTTATTTGAAAACATAAATATTGGTACAAGGGGGAATCAGATATATATGCGCCACACAAAACAATGAGGATGGGAAGAGAAAAAGAAGGTAAGGTGCGTATAAGAAAACAAGAAGAACAATAACGACCAAAGATTAGTGTATGGTAGTGTAATAATAATAATAATAATAATAATAATAATAATAATAATAATAATGAGGGAAACGGGAAGGTACAAACAGAAAAGATTCCTTCAGTTAAGGAAGTTACAACCACTTTTTATGAAGAAAGTAAAAGAAGGTTATAGCAGGATCGCCACTGGCTTCTATTCTGGGCCATATATGATAACGTCTCTAGCCACTGTATCGCACCATTTCTAGGACCCCAACCAGGGTGTCGTGAAGGACCAACACAAGCCAGCCCTTTGCAGCCTTCCTTCATACCACGACACCATGTCATACGCTGGCCACATCTCCGCTTTTTTCAACCAGTCCCAGCGTCGGTAAATAATGCACGACGTGGAATTCTCTGGGACGACATTCGTAGAACATGTCCAAGCCACGGAATTCGATGTTTCAAGATGGTGACACCAATTAGATTATCGTCTCTGTGCCCGAACACACGATGCCGAACCTCTGCATTACTGACATGGTGTTGCCACTGGATGTCAGCAATCCTTCGGAGACAACGATGATCGAACACAGAGAGTCGTCCAACACCCTCAACTCGAAGGGAAAAGGTTTCACAAGCATAGAGAAGAACTGCTCTCACCGACGCGTTGTAGATCCGACCTTTTACAGCCGGACTGACATCACGAAGGCGCCAAAGATGTCCCAGATTGGCATAAGCCACTCTGGCTTTCACTATACGCGCACTGATCTCACCACTCACGCCACCAGCGCCAGCACTTATGTAGCTACCCAGATACACGAACTTCTCGACTACTTCTATCTGCTCACCACCCAGGGTGAGTACAGGATTAGAATCCTGCACTTCGAAGGTGCAAAGCACATACCATACCTACGGACACTGATTAAGCGCGGATTGCATAGCTTGGGCATTATCGCACAGTAAGACAATATCATCCGCATACTCAAGGTCGAGAAGTCTTTCTCTAGGCAACAGATCCACACCGCCATTACTTACATTCATCAGAGCTGTTTCCAGAACGTCATCGATGGCAAAGTTGAAGAGGAATGGTGAGATTGGGCAATCCTGCCTAACCCTACTGCTCGAATGGAACAATGGACAGAGGTGGTTGTATGCCCTCACTCTGCCTGAGGTGTTTGTATATAGGGCCTTTGAGATATTAATAAGCATCTCAGGCACACCCTTCTTCAATAGACAATCCCAGAGAACAGTCCTATCCAACGAATCGAAGGCAGCCCTGATGTCAAGAAACACTACGATTGCTGGCTTGTGATAAGTATGGCGGTGTTCTAACATTTGGCGGAGGGTGAAAATATGACCAATACATCCTCGACCAGAATGAAACCCAGCCTGCTCCTCGCGAGTCAGTCTTTGTGGGTTTTTGAACGATCTACGAAATATGACAGAAGCCAATTGTTTGGACGCAATCGGAAGTAGACTTATCCCTCGATAGTTGCTACAGGAACGACATGAACCCTTTTTAAAGATAGGGACAACTATCGACTCATTCCATGACGTTGGTACACACTCTAGCTCCCAGACCTTTGCAAACAACACAGTCAGTTCCTTAGTCAGAATGTTACCACCATCGTTAAATAGAGCCGGAGGTAAGTCATCTGTGCCCGGTGATTTGTAGCGCTTCAAGAGTTGGAGTTCCTTGCGGACTTCCGCCTCATTTGGTGGATCAGTCGTCACCGGCCATGAAGGGCATGACAGTCTGACCGGTGTTGCCGGAGCAGCAGGCCAGTTGGACTGCCCTTCGAAGAATCCTTCCCACCGTCCAAGACGTCGATGGATGTTAATGATTGGCACCCCGTCATTCTCACAGATCGTTTCGCTCACACCAGACTTCTTGCTGTCAATGGCTCGGATGAGTTGGAACAGCTTCCGGTAGTTACCAGATACAGCTGCTGCTTCCAGCTCATTAGCACGCTCCGACCACCAGGCTTCTCGGTCCTTACTCAAGCTTTGCCCGATTTCATTACGTAACAGCCTTCGTTTGTGGTCAAACTCACGGTCACCCAGAGTAGACCGACGGGCTTCGATGAGTTGTAGGGAGACAGAAGAAACACGGTGCTTATAAGCGGGACGTTTCGCGAATCCGCAAGCGGCCTTACTCGCCATTTTCATGGCATGATCAGAGTCCAGATAGGTACTCCAACAGGAGCGGCAGTCTTGTACACAACCGCGCCAGCGGTAGCTCGTGGCGATGTGATCAATCTGAGTCCAGGCTTGAGATACAGAGGGAGGACGCCAGGTGGCACATCGGCGATGACTGTGCCGGAAGTTAGTGCTATCCAAAAACAGATTGTGGTCTGTGCACAGTTGCAATAGACGGTCCCCGTTTTCTGTCCTGCGATCAATAATTTCCCATCGGCCACCTGAACGACTCTTTTTTGTGCCTGGACGCCCGACCTGAGCATTCAAGTCTCCGGCTAGTACTACAATATCTGTCGAACGCACATATATGCATCGGTCCAAGTTGCCATACCGCATTAGCACAGCAAGATGAACACTGGATTCATAGGAGTGGTCAAATCAATGGTGGTAATATATAGGAGAAAGATTACATATAAAGATATAGTATAGGAAGAAAGAATTAGTTCGTAGAAAGAAAGATATGAAGCAATTTTAATCCCACTGTTTGAGAGACGACAGAGAGTGTATACACCTACGCCATTGTGATCGATTCTGAGCCATGTCGCCCACAGTCCTCAACCATTGGTTACGATAGTCACACGGACCCCAACCAAGTAGTCTGCATCTACTAACATGGCTCAGACTAGAAGTTAGTGTCTCCAAGCACTGATGCCACGTTTTGGTTTGGCCGCCTCTTACTTTCAACCATCTCCAACACCGGTTGGCATTGCACGTCGTGGTAATCGGTGTTCAGGCATACGCAACACGTGACCCAACCATCTCAGTCGATGAAGATTCACAACCTCATCAACTGATTTACCATCACTCCCTAATATCCTACGTCTAACCTCACTATTACTTACCCAGCAGACGCCAGCAATATTTCTAAGGCATTTGTGGTCAAATACTAGTAGCTTACGAGTGTCTTCTACTCTTAATGGCCATGTTTCGCTGCCGTAAATTAAGACAGAACGGACTGCCGCGCAGTATACTCGTCCTTTTTATTGACAGACGGACATCTCGCCTTCGCCATAGGTGACGTAATTTGGCAAAGGCCAAACGAGCTTTTCGAATCCGTGCTGAGATTTCGTCCGATACCAACCCATTAGGGCTGATCAGACTTTTAAGATAAGTGAAGTTGTCAACGCGTTCCACTACTTCACTCCCTATCCTTAGTTCAAGTGTTGACGCAGACCAGTCCTGAAGCAACAACTTGCATTTAGAGGGAGAGAAGTGCATTCCAAACATTCTGGCATTGTTGCTTAGTGCTACCAGAAGACTGCATTTTATCAGCGTCTTCTTCTGGAGAAGAACAGTTAACTGGTGGTAGAATTCACTCTTGATTGCATCCGGGCTGCAATCTGTCGGGGCATAGGCCGAGATGACGAAAAGACATCGTTTCTCACTCCGATTTCTTCTCACTTTGATGGAACCTTCTAATCTAACAGCACATAACCGACTGTTAATGTGGATCCAGTCAATTAGTGCTGCCTCAGCTCTAGCGCTTAGTGAGACACCAACGCCAGCAAGACCAGACGAAGATGCTACAGGGTCTCCGGATTAACACACATAAAACAAGCTTCTTGAAGCGACAGATGGAGAGCGGATTTGTAGTACTTCGCCAGAGTCTTGAATACGGGTCTCGGATAGACAACAAACGTCGATATTAAGACTTTCCAAAGACATAGCCAACCCTATCTGTTTTCATATCTGCATTAGTGTATGAACGTTGAAGGCAGCCATTTTGAATGGTGCACGTAGTTTCAGAAAAACTGTTTCGGTACTCATATTCGGTGGTAGCATTCAATTTCCAACCAGCCAGTGACTCGAGATCGTTTAGATAGAGCCGAATTTCCACCATAGGCGAGTTGCTGTATAAGTTGAAAAATAAGAATACACAAAGTGGGAATAAAAGAGAGTGAATAAATGACGTAAGTAATAATAGTAAATCTGAATTGTTTGACTTCCAATCGAAGCGTGAACAGTATTTTCAGTGGATATCGTCATCTCTTTTTGTTTGTGTGTGGGCTGTGATACTGCCTGGGTACCTAGACCAAAGCAGGTGGTTTTCTTATAGGGCCACACCCCAAGCCTTTGACCTAAAGGTCTGATCCACAAGACAGTGGAACATCACATCGTAAAGAGATGCAGCCCCATGGTAGCCGGTGACCAACGATTGGTTCATACGCCATTTGTTCCTTTAGAATACTGGAGCCCATGTGCACTATAAGTTTGGAATCAGGGTTTTCCAACCGCCGTAGGCGAACTTACCGTGTCCACCGGCCTGGTTAAAGCGCTGGATATTCGCTTTTCGTCCTCTCAATTTCCTAAACACCCCCGCCACGAGAAGGCAGTGAGTAGAACTTCCCTGGCAGAGGCTGTATACGCGTAGCCGTGTGAGAACATTTCGAGAAAAAGGGCGGGCCCTCCCCACTCTCGACCGTACCAGGGTATTTGGGGGTTGTTTACAGTATACTTGACAGTTTCTTTCTGAAATGGCTTTGAGTTGTATCGGGCATTTTTCCGTCACATAATGAGGGGAATCGGTTGTATCTAAAACAAATTGGAGTGGCAACCACTTTCATATACTATAGATAAACCACAGAGTATAGGTGTTATTGTACCTGTAGACCTCAACATCTCGTTCAAATTTAGTCTTTTTCAACAACTCCGCGAGGTGCTTCTAACCTTATCTGTCACATTATTATTGCTAACAATTTGTCTTATTTTGCCTATGCTACAACAACATATCTTTTCGGCATAATCGTCCACATCCAATATAACCATACCTAGACCTTGGTAATAGTGGAACGGTGACTCAGCGCTTAATGCATTCGAATTTTAGTCGCTGAACCACAGATTCAACCCCACTCCGGTTTGAGTAACCGGATAGTGTCACTATCCCTCGCACCTAGTGTGGCTCATACCCAAGACATAGTGAGTAAGTTTAATGTCTAATACTTGTTGATATTTCTTGTACTGCCAAGTTGCCAGACTGATTGCCTGGAGACATGTATAATTAACCTGAAATATTCTAAGACTAATTAGTTTATCTCTACTACTTTTATTTACTTTTTGCAGGTAAACTGTTCATATCAGAAGCTTAGTAAAATCTTCAAAATCCAGTTTTTAATCCTTCTTTCTGTTTTTATCACCATGTTGATTAGTGATCATTAGTTTGAGTTAATATGAATGATTCCTAACAGCATTTCGGAAAATTTAGAAGCCAGTCTTTATTAACAATATTATTTTCTATGAATCAATGCCGAATGAGGTACTATAATACAGTTCTTTTCGGGACTTATACGTAACCTACTTATACACCTGTTTTTATGTATTGATATTTCTAATGCTATATTTGTGAATGAAGGTTGTTTTGCAAACAATAATTTCCTCTGTTTTATTACATATAGAACAGCACAACTGCAACATGATTACATTTTGTCCATGTAATCAGAATATCTGAAGTTTACTGTCAAAAAATGATCACGTTACTTTTATACATTTTATTGATTATTTTGTCAAAGGTATAAGTTTTATTTGCACAAGGATTTAAGAACGTCCGGTGTGAGAAAGCCGCGGAAAAGCTCCAGATTCGTTGTGAAATGAATCATTTCATTTTCGGAGTATTTAATCCATATTTTGCCTTCAATCGATCTAATTCTTCTTTCTTTTTGTCTACATCAGTTTTCTTGAATTGCTACAAAAGGAATGAGAAGTTGTTAAGAGCAACCAAAAAATATTATGTACATACGTATAGTTATGGTTAAAAAGAACCTGATATTTATACACGAACCCAGAGACTACAGGTTTTGATTGAAACAGTTGAAGTTAACTCGGTTAACAAGCATAGATTCGTTTACTATGTCAAACACATCAATCAAGTGAAACTTGTTAAATAGGTCGGAGTAATGCAAGCATCAAAAAACCGTCTAGCTCGTTCAATGTTTTCGCCTTAACTATATGGTACTTATACTGGACAGAAAACCCGGTATGCCCTTATACTTATTATCAAAAAGCTCTGAACTAAAGGATGCTTTAATATCGGCTGATTTATCGGTGTTGCATTTAAATTCTTAAGCAGTATGAAGACTACCATATTACCCTGATGTTTTACGGCTGTATAAACTTTACAGACAAATAATTTTTGTTGACGTCATCATATGGAAATATACAAATCAATATAAAGCATGATAACGACACAATAAAACAATACAGAATACCTTGTTTCTCTGGTAGTACAGAACTACGAGATATCGGTTACAAACGTTAAAGCCACTGAGGTGATCACAAGCGTTCTTAGCGTCAAAAATGTCTTCATAGATAACCAGAGCAGTTCCTTTCGTTTCAGGGGTGTTGCCAATGCGAATTTGACGGATAGCACCGTACTTGCCGAAAATATCATACATTTCTTCCGCTGATATGTTATAGGGTAGATTTTTCACCAACAAGATCCTATTTACCTCTGGAGGTAGACGAGTCTAACGATCAAATTCAAAAAGAGCATTACTAGTTTTTGAGAAAACTGTATTTTGATCCAAATACCATAGATAAGGTTTCCTCACTTTAATATGGATGTCAATAGCTCTCTAAACGAAAACCACTATTAAATTAGCATTTTTAAAATTACCAACTTTAGTGATACTGCCTTTTTTGTAGAAAAGATGAGTTAGAAAACCTAGGTCCTAGAGAGGTCAGACACGATTGGTTTGCTACTGAAATATGAATACGGAGAAGCCACCTAGGCGAATTGAAAAATTCGGATTCCAAACCAATAGTGAACATGAGTGTCAGGATCCTATGGAATAATGGTGTACCGGTCATCAGCTAACATGGGATCGCATCTCCTAATGATGCTCCACCATCTTGTGGATTGGACCTCCACATCAAATGTCCGCGAAGTAGCTCTGTAAAAAAGCCATCTGCTTCGATCTGAGCATCAGGGCGGTATGCTAACCCGTTTACTAGCTAAATTATGACTACAATTACAAAAACTATTCGCGCTTTAATTCTCATACCCGCAAATCACACAAAACTACTTATTAATACTTATTTTTATTTTACATTATGTCACTTGTCTATTAGTATATACCCATTTTGTACATTCCTTTATTTTTCAACTCCCATGGCAGCTCTATGGTGGAAAATCTGTTCTATCTAAACGATCTTGCGTCACTGACCAGTTAAAAGTTGAGCACTACCATTGAATACGAAATTTGAAACAGCCTTTATGAAACCACGTGTGCCATTCAAACTGGTCTCATTCAACGTTCGCACACTAATGCAGATCAGACAACAGACAGGGTTATCTATGTCTTTAGAAAGTATCAACATCGATGTCTGTTGTCTATCCGATACCCATATTCAAAACTCTGCTGAAATACTACAGATTTGCTCTCCTTATGTCACTTCGAAAGGCTTATTTCACATGCGTTTACCCGGGGACCCCGTGACACCATCTAGTTTTAGTTGCATTAAGCGCTAGAGCTGAGGCAGCACTAATCGATTGAACCCTCATTAATAGACAATTATGCATTGTTAGGTTGCCGGCTGCGAAAAGTGGCGAGGTGGTCAGTGTATGACATGCTGCCAAGGCACAAAGGAAAGCTGTGCAAGACTGGCTTCTGTTGGTCCTTCAGGACTCCCTAGTTAGAATACTGAAGACAGAAAAACACAATTGTTCGACAGGTTATTATACATGGCTCAGAACAGAAGCCAGTAGTGATCCTGCTGTAACTTTCACTTTCTTCACGAAAGTAAGAGTAACTTCTACGACTGAAAGAAATCTCTGGTCGTTTTTTCCGAACTGAACTGCTTCTGCTATTATTTTCTTTTACTCCTACTCACCTGTTTTTATTCATTTAGTTTTATATACTATGCTCACCTTTCTCTACCTCTTTACAATTACATTCTCTTATTATATGGTGCATACTGTACTACTATCTAGATTTCAATAAATAAATAATGAGAAACGTGACTCTAGAATAACGAGTAAGCAGATTCGAGCAACAGCCCTGATTACATTTTAGGTTGTGGTTGATCTACAAGATACCAATGGATGACATTCAGTTTCTTTTTTGGGACACACCATAAATTGCCAGTTAAGCAGCGGAAATCAGCTTCCCTCCTTAAATAGTTTTGGTTACTTTGATTTACAGGATATCCTGAAATTTTTTGGACAAGTTACGAGTTCGATCAGCCATTTATAAAATGACGGTATCTAGGCTATAGACACCCATTGACGCCGCACTTCAGTCATGATATTTTACTTAAATTGTGCTTATCTATATTCATTCATTTACAGACGATACCTAAATACACCTGACTTGTAGCAGACAAGATCGATTTTAAATCATTTTAGAATTATTTTGATTCACTTTTTAAGTATCAGATTTGAATATAAGAAAGCAGTACTATTGACGGACACATCCATGCAAATTGTTATTAATCCCCATACAATTTTCAGTGTTGGTTATAATCTCATTAAAAACCAACTTTTCAAACAAACAAGATACGATGGTATGTGGTATCACGAGTGGTGAGACTAAAATTTGTGAACGACCGTTGGGCGATGCTAAAACGACCTTGGGGAAAAACCTGCTTACAAGGCTCAATAGAGGAATGTAAATTAGTACGAGGAGCTAGGACTGGAATCTAGAGCTAAATTTAAGGTTAGGAATTAGAATGAGAGTTTTCAACACGAACTGACATCAGCTATGATGCAAAAATACTATTTAGCCACATAGACGAATGAACTTCACGCCAAAATTTTAGACTACCTGTCGTTAATTTCGTGGTTCTTCCATAGATTATAGACTCACCTCACGAGAAATTAACGATTAGGACGCGTTAAGTATCATGACTATCCACCCAGTGCGTGAGGTAAACTAAATAAAGAGGACATCCAGATTTACTTGTCAGACAGTGACTACCGGTCTCAGAATAAAAAAGAAATGTAGTGTTCTCGGTTCAAACTTACGTTAGGAATCAGTGGTTGGGTAAACGTGACAGCTGAAAAAAAAACAATATTGTGCTGCATATACTGGAGTTTATGCACTGCTTCAGACCTTAACGTTTAAGAGCAGGTTGGTAATACATCTCAGGTGCTTGAAGACACATAGATGAAGAAGGATTATATCATCCGGACTAATGGTTAATCTATGTCTTGACAACTTATAGATGAAAAGCAACCACAAACAAACTCATCCTCGGCTTTCTCCTGACCAAAACCTTGCCAATGAATACTTTGTTACTCACTTTGTATTAAAACAGTCTATTTGCTGACTGACTACATTTCCTTATCACAGGAGGACATTTTAATATCCCGGGTGGAATTGGTGGTGACTGACACTCATCTCTCGTAGATTGATTTAACAATGACAGTTCTGAAATTTATATTACTACGTAGTCTGGAGATACAATTCATACTAGATGTAGTTAACGTGTGTTCAAATTCAAATGCCTTACTAAACTTACCAGAATAAAGGTCTTGGCAAAGCATATCACCACTTCCAGGAAGTAAAGCGAAATATACTTAGAACATTTAATTACAAACAGAAGACATAGAGCTGACCCAGTAAACAAAAGAAGTAAGAAACAAACTTACAGCATTCTTTCGTCCTAATGCCATCCCGATGTACCGTCCATGAATGAACCACGCGGCAACCGAATTGTACGATGTCTTCAAAAACGTTTCAAATTGTTCTGGACGGAACCAAAGAAGCTTTTGCTTAACGGGATTCCGTGTACAGTAGCAGTAAATCACCAACGCCTTCAGGTAAGAAGCTGGGTATATTTAACGATGAAAGAAGAAGTAGTTAGTAAATTATAGCGATAAACTTCTTAGTGCATAAAAATATGTCACGTTTTCACTTAAAGGACTCCTTCAAAGTCACTTGGACTAGCTCATTTGGCAAATAATTCTAGAATTTGGCTGCTACTAAGGATTATAAGGTGTGACTACAGCCGGTCCTTCCATATTATCTCCAGCTTCTTGGTGTTAACCCTAACGTTTGTGTTAGGACTAAGCTTAAGTGGGTGTTCAAGTGGGATGTATAGAAATATTTAGGATGTTCCAAGTCATTGAAAGGTCACCCATAAGACGCTTGTATTATGATGGATAAAGGTTCAGTGATTGGGGGTGTTTTTCATAAGACTTGAATTTTAGTCCTCGAACTGATTTCGTGGTTCACCGTGGTTCCCAGTGTACTTTTATTCTTTTGAAGTGAGGGAAGAAACGCTATACTTTCACACCCTAAATAAGAATTAAAGGGGAATTTCTTCAGTCAAACGGTCCAAAAATGCGCTTTGGTGTTACCAGCCCACGCTCTGATCAAAAGGCATTTTTGTAGCAGTTAGAGCAAGACTTCAAGTTATAGGTATCAACAGTCCTAGATCTTTTTCAATTTGGGACACCTCTAGAAAGGGTCGTCTAAGTTGTAATTGTAATCTGCAACATGTCTCAGATGGACTACCTTACACTGTGAAGTGCTAAACGTAAGTCCTTTGTTGTTCGCCCAACTTTTAAGTCGAGTCAGATCCCCTCGAAGTACCAGTTTGTCCTCTTGGCTAATGATAAACCCGACGATACCTGCCATGAAAGATCGTTTATATAAATTAAGAAAAGCAGAGGTCCTAGTAGTGAACCTTGGAGGACCCCACCAGAACATTTCATAACCTGAGAAAAAAAGACTTTAACCATGACGTTAAAAGTTGACTATTTAGATGTGAAGTAAGCTGACCAATTAAAGGTGATTTGGTAACTAATCGTTTGAGATTATTGATAAGACATATATGGATGAGCCTATCAAAAGCTTTTGAGAAGTCAAGGTATTTGACGTCAACCTTCCCCTTGCAATCATGGATGGTTGTCCATCTGCTCACCGCGGTCAGAAGGTTGGTTATACATGAGTCACCTCTCCCGAGACCGCGCCATTTGAGTAAGAAGAAGTTTAAGGATAGTAAGTAGTCATGTAGACCATCTCATATCAAGGATTCCATAGTCTTTGAGGGTATAGAGAGAAGTGCTACCGGTCGGTAACTTGAGGTTTCGCTACTTCGATCTCCTTTGAAAATTGATGTGATGTGGACCAACATCCAACTTCCTGGTAGCGGGCCTTGGCTCAGAGAATGTGAGAGTATAATGCTAAGCAGTGTTGACAAGATTGAAACTGCTCCCCGCAGTATATCAGAACGGACCACATCCGGGTCGGAAGAAGTGTTTTTGTTTAGGCACTACAGTTTCCCATTACCCAATTTAGAGCTCAGGTTAACTGCTAAGAGTCCTATTGAGTTGCAGGTGAGGCTTTTATCAATCTTTGTGATGAGCCAATATATATCAGTTAATTTCCTTACGTCTGGGCACCTGTTAAAGTCTTTTGTAGAGTTCAATTAAAGTAATTTATCCACTTGACTACCCTAGTCCTTTGGAGATTTCAGATTTGTGTATTGAGGATAAAGCGCACATGGTCTAAGTTAGTCCTTTCCTAGTTAACCTCTGAGAGCTTCTAGCCTCTTGAGATATCCGTTTCATCCTGTTAACATGAGCTTACAAATTAAACGCAGTTCTTAAGTCCGGATCTCATTAAAACCGTGTATACTGTGGTGAACATGCTAGTATCCAACTTGATATATTTCCGTCTTAAAGCCCATAGGACTCTGAACCCTTTGACTGCAACTGCATCTCCAATGGCCGTGGTCTTGTAGAATTATGGTCTACTATGATATTAATACCGCTCTAATAATAGACCTAATCCTAAAATTGTAGATTTGTCATGATATAACTGCTCAGTCTATAAGATCTTACATGGAAGTCACATCATCATCTACACCAACTCACTGTATCGTAACAATTACCAATACATGATGGAGAACAAGCTTAGGCTAGATAAAGAATAATATATTTAACATAAATAAGAGATATAAGGTAACATTCCGCAGGGACCACGCCTGCATGGCCGAGCCATGCCATCCGATCAACTCCAATTAATTCAACCCCTTGTTCCCGCCTTCTCCATCGTTAGGTATTTCTCCGCGTTAAATACTGAACCTCTATTTTCCGAGTAGTCTCGTGTTCAGCTTTGAGGATTGTGTGGTTATGGTCCGATGCCATTACAGTCTCACTGTTACCATAAGATCATTGTGAGACTAGAATACAAGCACTGACTCTTCTTCAGTTTCGTACCTATTTGCTAGTATATCCCCAATATTCATATGGACACACTTGAGCGCGAACAGGCATTAGACATTTATTAGACCAGATGACCGGAATGAGGTGTACATGTATATACGTCTCCTGTTATTTCTTGCCAAATGTTTAAACCGGGGACACCGGGGGCACCGGGGGCTTGACGATGTTCTGGTGTTCATTTAAATACAGTATATAAGGAAGAGAACCTATAACATAATCTTGCTGTACTGGTTTCTATGAGGAGCATTTGGGATCCATTTTTACATTCTGCCTATAACCTATCAAGAAACCTTTGATCCAAGAATTATTAGATTTTTCGGCCTTAAGAGGAGGCTATTATTGGCACCTTATCAGATTCTTTGCCGGCGTCTACCTAAACAACATTCGCGGATTTTCCATTGCCCAAAAACTCCGTTTATCTCCTTGCTTAAGGAAGTTTGTTGTGCAAGATAATCTTTTCATAAAACCATGTTGTTTGGTGTTGTTGATCACAACGAAGGTCATTATGATGTTTCTAGTTATTCACTCCAACAATTTAACGACGGTACTGGTGAGGCTGGTAGGTCTGTAGTTTGGTGAAGGCCGTCTCGATCCTTTTTAAAGTTGTCACCCATGGCTTCTACATTTGTTCTGATATTCCTCTATTTATTGAGATGCACTCGTTTGGGGACCAATATTGTGCACTTGTTCGGTGACATATGCAAGAAAACAGTCGACTACGAATTGTGTCAAATGACTGTCGTATTTTCGCCGAGATGCCCGGATTGTGCTTATATACTTATCAGCAACTGCTTTATCAATCTTATGTGTTCCAGGTTCTTTTCAGTGCATATCGAATTCTATCGATCAAATTTCGATGTAGTCAGTAGTCTGGGTAACTCCATATCCCATCCAATATGTTGAGAGGTATGGTGGTCGTTGGAGATTGTCAACAGGAAACTATGGACATAAGTTTTATGTTGTATGCCATTCGACACGATCGAATCCACCAGAGAGCATCAGTTTCCTCAAGATTATAGGTGTACCTAGGTGACGAGTGCATAACGCTATGTATAGACAACGTAATAGTAACTTACAACTAGCGTGAGTCTGGTTGTGATACCACTTGTCGCATTTGTCGAATCACACTCGATCCTCGACTGGAAAGAAGAATCGGATCTACCACAGTGACGTTTTGTCTGCGTCGTTTGAATTTGTAAGTGGACTCCCAGAGAGCCTTACAAGTGCTTTAATCTATACTTACGCCTTATATATATATATATATATATATATATATATATATATATATATATTACTTACGCCTGTTACTCCTCGCGAAGGAGCATAGGCCGCTCACCAGCATTCTCCATCCAACCCTGTCCTGGGCAATCCTTTCCAGCTCCTTCTAGTTGTTATTCATCGTTTTCATATCTGCTTCTATTATCCGACGTAATGTGTTCTTAGGCCTTCCTCTTTTCCGCTTCCCTTCAGGATTCCATGTTAGGGCTTGTCTCGTGATGCAGTTTGACGATTGGCGTAATGTATGTCCTATCCATTTCCATCGTCTTTCCCTAATTTCTTCTTCAGCTGGAAGCTGATTTGTTCTCTCCCACAAAAGGCTGTTGCTGATGGTATCCAGCCAATGTATGTTGAGTATTTTGCGAAGACAGCTATTTATAAATACTTGTACCTTCATGATGGTGGTTGTTGTAGTTCTCCAAGTTTCAGCTCCATACAGTAGAACTGCCTTGACGTTGGTATTGAAGATTCTCACTTTGATATTGGTTGAAAGTTGTTTTGAGTTCCATATGTTCTTCAATTGTAGGAATGCGACCCTTGCTTTGCTAATCCTTGCCTTTACGTCTGCATCTGAACCTCCTTGTCCATCGACGATGCTTCCCAGGTATGTGAAGGACTCTACATCTTCCAGAGTTTCGCCATCAAGAGTGACTGGATTGGTGTTCTCCGCTTTGCTCAGATCTCCTTTCTTTGGAATCTTGATGAAATGTCCTTCTTTCCAGTCCATCGGCACTTATTTCTCCTCCCAGATCTTTTTGAATAGAAGGTAAAGCATGTTTGTAGTTAATTCGATGTCTGACTTCACTGCTTCAGCTGGTATATTGTCGGGTCGCGCTGCTTGCCCGTTCTTGATTTGTCTGACGGCCATTCTAATTTCTTCCGTAGTTGGTGGATTGACATCTATAGGAAGATCTATGTGTGCCGCTTCGATATCCAGTGGATTCATTGGAGCCGGCCTATTCAGGAGTTCCTCGAAGTATTCTACCCATCTGTTTCGCTGTTGTTGAATTTCGGTGATTGGCTTGCCTTCTTTGTCTTTGACCGGTCTCAATGGTTTACTGTATTTCCCTGATAGTTTCTTTGTTCTATCGTAAAGCTGTTTCATATTTCCTTCTCTTGCAGCTTTTTCCGTCGTCGTTGCTAGCTCTTCCACGTACTTCTTCTTGTCGGTTCTAATGCTCCTCTTCACTTGCTTGTTTGCTTCTGTGTATTCAGCTTGTGCTTGGACTTTCTCTGCTCGTGTTCGGCTGTTGTTAATTGCTGCCTTCTTGTTCCTTCTTTCTTTGATC